CGACTGTGGAAGCCTCCGAAATTAGCTAGAACATAACTATGTGTCGGATGGATACGAACAGATGAGTGAAGAAAGCGTGGGAGACCAAAGCTACAGAAAAGGACATACAGGACAGACCAACCAAAAATTGGAATAAGGATGTTGCAGAAATGCTGAATAATAGAAGCAAATTGTGAAAAGAAGCAAGAACTGTGGCAATAGACAAAAGAAAATGGAGAAGTTTCGTCAAGGAGAAACTCAACCCAAACCCAGACCTCGACATCTAGCGATACAAGAGGATGGATTATGGATATGGAGTAATTATAAAGAATAGTTGCTATTTTCGAGTATAACTATTTTCGTTTTCTGGTATATTGTTTAGATCACTCATCAATTTTTCCCTATTTTCCGGTTTGACTTGTTAAATTCATATTATTTATATGTAGTTTTCAGGAAAATTGATCTGTCAAAACGTATAGAAATGTACGAAAATATGAAACCAGCAGTTCTTAATAAATTCAAAGCATCTCATTAAAGTTTAAATCGTTAAAGCTGTGGATTTTTTCACTATCCACGAGCTACGTGAAAGCGGACCTGATCACGATCTAAATGACAGGTAGGACTGATTTTGTGAATGTCATAGAAACTGTAAAAATCTTTAAAACAGCAAGCTACACTGTGACAACATTACGATTATAAAAAATTTCAGAAAGGGACCTATTTTTTCATACTCTAGAAGGCATGAAACGTCGAAGAAAAGAAAATGACCATTCGCCCGATGGACACGACTGCAATGCTTCCATAGTTCACGCTCGGGAAATAAAAAGTATCGAAAGTTATTTAGTTAAAACGTCCATCTCTCCGAAAGCAATTAATACAAAATTTAATTTTGTAACGGTTATCTTTCTACCATAATCCTTGTACGTTGTCGTTTCAAGTAGATTTTCACTTGCCGAGCGTAAGCGTCCGTCTGTCTGTCCGTCTGTTTGTCCGTCTGTCTGTCCGTCTGTTTGTCCGTCTGTCTGTCCGTCTGTCTGCCCGTCTCTCTGTCTGTCTGTCTGTCTGTCTGTCCGTCACGGATTTCCATTAGACAGATTATCTCCGAAACTAGTATCGTGTCGATGATAAAACGCTAACCAAAATTTGGATAATCATCTCTAACAACAATTTGATGACGTCCGCGCAATATCTTTTTTTTAATAGATTGTATAGATTGATTAAAATTATTCACTCTAATTTTTATTGATCAAATTAAGAACGGTCACCCCATTTTCTCAAAAATGTCCAAATAAATGATCTTTACCTAATAAGGATTAAACTGTAACTACTTAAAGCTTTTAATCCTCTGTTTTGAGGCGATGAACTCAATTTAATCAAACTAAATTCTAGGTAACAGTCTTCCGATGCATAACCATAAAGACTTTTAAGTTGTTTTACTTATCCAGCGTAAGCTAAGGACGTATAGTAATGGAGTCCATCGGGCAATTTGGTACCTTCATATTTTCTCGACGTTTCATGGATGGCACCTAGGAGATGCTGGTCCAGGCCCTAGAGCAACTTTAGCCTCCTCTAGACTTTGACAAGTTATAGTTAACCAAATGTGAATTACAACATCTAAATTCATAATAAAATGCAATGTTTTATTTAATAAGCGGAAGTGAGAGCAATAAAAAAGTCTGGACCATCGACACTGTAATCCAGATATTGCAATTCGTATAAAATATCTTTTAGTGTAGTTTCTCTGTTTCACTCACACGTATACAGCTCGGCAAGCGTTATCGCTACTTGTCTTAAATTACGAGTAGCTATTATAAATGATTTTCAGTTCATTCTTCAATCGTACGGTTGCTATTACACATGGTAGAGGTGTTTAAAGTGTTTCGTTAAATTATTGATTCTAGATCAAGATTCAAGAGGACTCACTCCATTTTTCCAAAAATTTGGGAATACAATACTTTTATTATTAGTATTACACTGCATCTATCCACACTGACATATATGGCCTTGCAAAAATGTTGATGACATCATCACAAAATTTTGTAATAAAAAAGTCACTTAACACAAACGCGTAGCACCTTACTTGAACATTACACACATATATATCTTTATTTTAAACTATAATAATAATTGTCATAAAAAAAATAAAATTCGCAAAATCAAATCTTTTAATTTTTCGAAAAAGCTGGATTTGATGATGTATGTATTGTACTTTATGGGCGAGGAAAGTCCTGTCGAAATAATCTGCAACTATTTTTTTAATTTTCATTATAGATTTCTCTTGTTTACGGTAACCTTAAAACATTTGCAAGAATTCAGAGCAATCGGTTTTGCATTTTCTAAGTTAAATTTAAAAATATTGTTATAAATTTTTTATTTTTTTCAAAAAAGCTGGATTTCCGGGGTAAAAAATCAAGGCACGTGTATGGATCACAAAGATAGGACTATTTTATAAAATTTAAATATGCAAAATTTTTATATTAATTTTGAACAGGGATTTACCGTACTTATATTTTAACGAGTACGCAAAATGTCAAAGCAATAAGTTCCATACTTTATAATTCGAATTGTAAATTTCTAATTTAATCTTTTTTCCAAAAACCTGCTTGCTTACGATTAAAAATAAAGATGAATTAATACATTACAAGTTCAAAAGTATGACATTCTTAATGTACTCCTAAAATTTCATAATGATCATTTTAGTACATTTAGTAGACGACAGACGATAGACGGACGGAAACGGAAGACCCACTCTTTCGTATTCTGGAAAATTCGTCAAATGAACGCTCCTGTAATCTTCCCTAGCTTACGTTCTGAAAGTAAAGTAGTCCGGTCAAAAAGACATAAAAATAGTGATCAAATAACAAAAACTCCGACAGAGCTGAATTTTGGTAGACACCTTGGGTACACCAGTGGAAATAAAGTGCCAAAAGTCCCCGAAGATCCCATGTGTGCTAAAAAAGTTATTGAAGATCAAAAGTCGAAATTTTTGTTTTTTGGATTTTTCTCGAAAATGGTAAGTTTTATCAAAAATATACTTCATACAAAAATTATAGAGCATAAAAGTATCTACAAAAATGGCCTGTATACTTTTTTCCTAAGAATCACCATTTCTAAGATATTGCCATTTTATTAGTATACATAGCCATCTTTTCACAACCAGAAACTTAAAACATATCATTAAAATGGTACATTTTTGCAAAGAAATATATTTCCTTATACCAATTTTGTACTTTATACATGTTTTAAGATTTAGGTAGTGAAAAGAAGTCTACACATATTAAAACAAAAAGCAAAATATAAGCCCGCCAACCCGCCCTATCCCAATTGTGATGATGTTTTTTATTCACTGTGAATCAAAGGGGCCGGAGCTTGACTGCAAAATACTTAATTCTTTACAAGAAACTAAAAAATGTTTCTGAGTATCGTGTTGTTCAACATTAGTATGTACATTAAGAAAAAAAGGCAAAATATAAACCCTGGGGTGGGTACCCCATTTCAATTGTGATGATTTTTTTTTATTTTTAGAAACTTAAATTACGTTTAAAATGGTATTTTTTTTAAGGAAATATAAATTTTGAAATTAGACTCCGCCCCTAGGTCTGCCAACGAATGAAAAGTTCACTATTATTTAGATCAGGGCAGGTATGTGTGGGTCTTAATCTTTCGCATTAATTTTTCCTTAATATACATAGTATTTTTTTAATAACGCGGTACTCAAAAACATGTTTTTAATTTCTTGTAGAGAAATAAGAATTTTGCAGTTAAGCTCCGCCCCCTTGACAGACGACGAATATAAAAATTCATCACAATTGACATAGGGCGGGTGGGCGGGGCTCCAGTATGATTCAATGTTTGGTTTTTAATGCATCTGGTACGTTTCTTGAAATCTAATAAATGCCTTTGAAGTATTTTGTTTTTTCATAAATGGTTTCATCAGGAAGAGTGTATACGGACACATTTTCAAAAATTGCTTTTGTCTGCAAAAATCATTGAAAATGCCAAAGTGGATTGTTACGACACTAAATAATCTTTTTTTTAGTAATGTCATAACGATATTAAACTCGAACTGTCTCATCGTCAAGGCTAATATGAGCTGTTACTCAAATATGTAAATTTCTAAACGTTTCAAGTAACAAAAGAATGAGGTTATGGAATGTTATACAAAAATGTATTGTACTGGAAAACAGTACACAAAACAGAGTTGCTTTAGATTCAGCAAAAAAATATACGTACAAAAAGCTATATATTATTGAAAATTGTGCGAAACATTTCGAAATGTTTTAGAATGAATTAAAATGTCACATTTAACGAAAAAATAATAATCACCTGTGATTTAATAATGTTGCAAGCAATTAGTACAAGAACAACTGATAGTGAAACCGTGTCGACAATATAATCAAAATACATCAAAATAAATTACAGAACACAAAGTAAGTTAAGTGAATATATAAATAATGTATTTTCTTTTGTTCTCACGAATCTGCAATAAACCAACAAATTATTGCATTTCCTATTCCTCTGCACTTTTTATGTTAGATGCAATATTGCAATACGTCCCTGGATCAATTAATTCATACTATCTAATCTACGAAATAATTTTTGTCAGAAACCTAGCTAGTTTGTACTAAGCTCCTAATAAGAGTATTTAAATTTTACCATACCACCCGGGAAGTATTAAAATTTTTGAAGGTTACTTTTCTGATGGAGCAATACATGTTAATACTTCATATGTGTCTTCATTTAGCTTTTGATTAGTATTAAAATTAATTTAGTTAATACTCAAAAAAAAAGACAATATCAAAAATCGAATTCGGTAAAAAAATTGTATCAAGTCAGGTAATAGAAGAGGCTCTAAACAAGAGGTATGTGTTGCAAAACTCATTGCCATAAATCATTTTATGCGAGAAACTCTCCTAATTCGAGCAAAAAAATTGATTTGGTTGCAACTGAAATCATGTATTTAAGGGGGGGCGACGTAAGAGGGGACAGTCAAGAACACAGCACTTACTCTCGTATAAAATCACTCGAACTTTAATAATGAAGTAATGAAAATGCGTGTCGAGGGTATTGCTTTTTTCTTACAAGTTGTAGCGGTGTTGCCGTTCTTCGTTTCCGGGCACTGTGAGTTTACCCAATTTTTCTCCCTCGTGTTGATTGCGGTCAATTTCAGGGGATGATTCGGTTCACCCGCACTTCCCACGAAAAGTAAAAAAACGTTCGACAGAAGAGAAAAGTGAGGAAGACTCGGCAGATTTTTGGATTCGGAACGCGCAAGAAGCCGTGAAAGAGCGTCTGCTGCGAAGAGCCAACGAAAGTAAGTGTAACTCCAAAAAGACGGGACAAAATTTTAAAACAATCGGGCCCTAAATGACGGGTTGTGCGAAAGGAATTTTCACTTTATGTAAATTTTAAGTGAGCTATTAACATTCAAGCTGTGGTATTAGCTAACGATTTGAATAATGGGTGCATTGATAATTGCGCAAGCCAGTTAGGATTAATGTGGGTTTGATGGTAATTTTGGAGGAAAAACGGTTGCAAATTGGCGAAATTTTCGTCGCCTTGGCCTAAAAAGAAATAAACCACACTGCAAGGAAGGCGACGACCTTTACAGGTTTTTGCCACAAGGAAAAAAAATTGAAATTCTTTCACTGTCACGTGACCTTAAATACACACGACTTGACTTACATATTAACAATTCAAAATTTCAGTCTTGGAAGTAATTTCACGGTTACAGGTGACGAAAATCAAAGGGCAATGTAGCGTGCGATAACGCATGATTAAGTTTGTTTCAGCAACTTAATAAAAGTAATCGGTACAAGTTTTGCATTAGATTATTAAGTGCACCACAACTTGCCTGGCAAGTTTAACAGGTCATCGTAATCAAATCGGTTAGAATGTGATTTATTAACAGACTGCGTTAAAAATTATAAACATATTCCAGATAAGATGCAAAGATAAAATCAGTGTGTATGCACTGTGTGAATGTTCTATAATGTATGTTTGGCATTCTCAGAGAGGAATAAATTCTAAAAAACGAGCAAAAGCTGTTTAAAAACTGAAAGTTTGTATCGGTTCCGGGCATACTAGTTTTATCTGGTATTGTAGCGGCATAACTAGATTAATGTTCTACTAAACACTTTTTCCTGTTTATTTATAATCACTTCAGAATGGATCTCCAGACACCAAAATCTTAACTGAATATTTTTGAGTTTTGTTTACAAAGCAAGAATTATGCTTGAAGTTATAAACAAGACTGAGAAAACCTTTTAAAACATGTTTTCTTTATTTAGAACGAAATTGAAAAATATCTTCTACTCAAAAGTTAGTACTACTTTGGCATCTAAATTTTTGAGTTCTGTGTTTTCTGCCCTATTTTCATCAAGTTCTTTAAAATAATGTTATTAAAATTTAACTGATATTTTTTTTTCATTATGTAGAAATATCCCATCAATTTTATGTCCAATTGGAAATAATCATCTATCTTCTGCTTATCTATTGCCAATATTATGAGACAGATACCACTGCCCAAACACTGTCTTATCCCCAACACAAATTTGATGACGTCATCTTACAACTAAATAAGCAAATCTTGAGTGAAATTTATATCGTAGTATACTCCCTATTTAAACAGCCACCGCTCCTTTCCAAATATTTCGCAATCGAGGTTCTTCTGGAGTGCCCGTCGTAACTTTAGCTTCCAGACTTTTCTTTAGTAGAGCGCCGCCGTCGGTGGTGATACATACTAGAAAACCCATAGACTTCGCACCGGGGAGGTGTATGGGTTTATTTCGTAATAATATATATCGCACTGTGAGAGCACTACTCACGTAAGTCAAAACCAGCGTGTTTTGAGTAATGGTGATTTCTAATTCCCAAGTTCGTATATATTATTTGTATCTTAAATACCAAAGGTTTCGAAATACATTATAGTCGTATTGTCAATCTATTATTAATCGTGTTTTTATTCCTTTAGAGTAGAACCTTCTACTCGTTATAGAAAACAAGAAATTTTGACTTACGTGACTATTGCACTGCTACACCATATCAAATATTTTGGCTTGCGTGTTAATAAATTTAAGACAAGAGCAAACTAGCAACACATTGTAATGAAAAAAATATAACAAAACACAAAACGATCACAGTATTAATTCATTCAACATCTACACTGACCGGCAAAAAAAACCGGCCTCCCTGAAAAATTTCGCAAAACCACTTTAAAACTTAATTTAACTAGTGATCGTTATTTTATTAAAGAATAATTCACTATTGACACATGATGTACAAATTAGCACAACAAAGAAGACAATTAAACGCAGAATTAAATTTCATTTAACGAAATAACAGAAACAGACCAAGTACGATATTTTCTTAAAAAAAAACAATAAAGGAGGCTGTTGTTGTAAATAGTGTATTTCATCATTTAACTATAAGTTTGGCAATTAATAAACGTTTTCACGCGAAAATAATTCCGTTAACTCTTACAGACGTCTTTCAATGTGTCGCTCTGTTTCTGTTATTTTGTTAAATTAAATTTAATTCTGCGTTTAATTGGCTTCTTTTTTTTGCTGATTTATACCTTATATGTCAATAGTGAATGGTTCTTTAATAAAATAACTATCACTAGTGAAATTAATAATTTTTAAAGCTTCGTTTTGCGAAATTTTTCAAGGTGGCCGTTTTTTTTTTGCCGGTCAGTGTACTATGGCTAAATTGTTATAAAATGTGTTGTAATTGTATTTAATTCATTTTTTTATACATAATTGATTCAGTCCATCGTATTTTTTTACGTATTGCTAAAGGACCTTCATAAATATTGTTTAATCATTTTCATTTAAGTTTGATGCCGCCGTTGTCGTGATGTTCGGGAATTGATTGACTATTATTTCCTGATATACTTCCTTTCTATACGAAGTTAGAAAATTCCATCGGAATTTTTGACAAATTTTAATTTTTTTATTTCGCTCTAATTAACTTTCCTAGCTTTCCTATTCAAAGAAAAATTGATTTCCATGTTTTCGGTCAATTCTTAACTATGTCAGAAGACATTGTGCATTTGTTGTGTTCAATTTGTACCTAAATTAGTAGGAGTATCAGATTATCAACATCGACTGAAATCTCATAGCTTCATAGCTTACGTGCATTTCACTTTAGTTTTGAGATACGGCAGTCTTGCATTAAGTGCACACGTAATGTTCGGAAATGCAATACTAACATTTTGATGAATTTGAGCATTACGCAACTATTAAAAACCGTTTATACTTACATATACTAAAACTACATTAACTTTTTTATGCATTAATGACGAATTTAAGAATTCGGCAAATTTTGACTTACGTGAGTATTGCTCTCACAGTGCGATATATATACCCATTTATCGTTGATATGATTATACATAAATCGTATCACCTGTGGACTTGTTTGGTTCACTTTTTTGTAAAAACGGTCTTTGACATTTAAAATCGCTCTATTATGTCCTTCTTCAAAGTTTTCAGCAAAAAAGTAGTCCACTTTCAGCCATGTCCCCACCTTGTGATTGGTAGTTCCGGTATTGAAAGATTTATCACTCGATTCTTGTTTTAATAATTTAGTTCCTAGAGGAAATATTGAACACCAAAAATATTTACAAGCTATTTAATTCAGTTCAGTGATTATGAAACGCATCATTATTTTAATTGCGATAATAAAAGGAACCATCAAAAAATCATTACATTAAATGAATTTTTGTAGACTATTTCAATAATAAAATAAATGTAATAACGGGCACTGAAGAAAAAAACTTTACAACTTTACTAGTGTAAGCTAAGGAAGTATTGTAATAGAATCCATCCGAAGAATGACTACTTTCGTGTTTTCATGCCCTTAGAATGCGAAGCAATAGGTCCCTGTTTCCGTCGATCTGCCTGTTTATCTGTCTGTCCGCTGTGTCAATTTTTATTACATAGATAATCTCCGACACTATCGAACCAATTGTTGTCAATTATTAGAAATATGTGTATCAGGAATATCGTGTAAACAGTCGTGACATTTCAATTATGTAACATACAATTTAGTCCGTGGTTTATGAATCCGCCTTGTTTTTGTTTATTACTATTACAATGTTTATTGTTTAAACCGTCTTGTTGTTCTATAATCACATAATACGCAGATACAAAATTTGCTTAACATTCTGTTACTGCGGGTGTAATCGAGTCTCCGTTTTCTTCCATCGGTGGAGAAGTGCGAACTGACACTCCGCGCCAGACCAATTAACCAAGTTAGCAAAGTGTGTTTTCGAAAAATAACACATTCGAATCAATGGTTCAATTTAAAAAAAAAAACAAGCTCAAAAAAGCCTCTTAAAAATTTGTAGGGTGTCATTAAAAAATGAAAACAGTTGGATGTCTCACACAAAAACAAACATATTTATACAGGGTGACTGCGAAATATGTGCAAATATTTTAACCACGGCATCCCCCACCCCAGTAGAGCCGAAATATAGAAAAAACAAATTAAAAATCGAATGGGGCAAAACCCCCATGAACCACCCTCGACACGAAGGCACTGAGCCACCTTGCAAACAGAGTTGGAAAAACGTTCGACTAAAAACGACCCAAACACTTTCAGTTTCAATTAAAAGTAAAACCGACTTTTTGCTGCTTATCATTCGTTCATTCATTTACTCATTCATCGTTAAAGGTCAGTGTGAAAGTTTTTTGGTAATTTTGATTCTGACGGATGTTTGGTCCTTGTCACAACGATTTTACATTGTTTATTGGAACAGAAATAAGAGCAACTTAGAATGCTACTAGCTTTTTACAAGAAATGTTGAAAATGTTGTTCTTGACTAGCAATACAGGCGTCAGAGCGTCGCAAGAGGTTTGTTGATAGGCAAAAAAACACCGGAGTAGCGGCTGCCACTTTCACTTGTTGAAGCTCTTCAATAATTTCTGGACACTGTTGATTTTCGCAAACGAATTGTTTCATCCAACCAATACACCTTTCTCGAAAACCGTCTCTTGAAATCGTACTTGTTGACGACTATGTGGAGTTCCATTGGACAAAAAGTGAGTTACACAACGTGGACAATCAGTGGACTCCAAACCGTGCACTTTGTCAACATGGTATGGATGTGGCCGTGTTCTTTTAATGTAGGATGCACTACAAACTGCGAAAATCCAAATTCTCCTTTCTGCCCCATCACGACCACGATCGTAAATTTGAGGTTGAAGGTAACATGATCTCGGAGATGCTGTACCACCATATCGACACACTCTGCATTGGAAAACTGGACCATACACCGATTTCAACGACCGCTCGATAATGACTGGCCCTTTT